TTTCTTTCTTTCTGTTCCCCTGTTCGCTCTGTATCTTTAATTTCTTGATAAGCAACGAATAAGAATTTCATTGGATTTTGCTTTACATCAAAAGTGAATGTATGTATGTTTTTTTATAATCTATTCAGAAGTTATAGATTACCTATTTCACAAAAACTGCCCTCGTAGCCAGAAATACACGCGCACGTAAAGTCGGGTGATCCAGGAGTACAAGTTCCTCTACTTGCACTCGTACACGAATCGGCAGCACAAGAAGCTAAACATGTAAAAAAAAATTGATTTCCGAAGGCAATGAATTTGATAAATATGACGAGAAGAAAAAATACCCGTTTGAAAAGATTAATCTTCACTTGGAGGGATACAGTAAAATAGAGTCAAAAGTGGTATCTTCAATTCGATTAACGACAGTGAGGGAAAGAGTTACCTCATTTGTGAAACTATCAGTCAATAAATCAAACAAAGTAAACGGACTGATTATTTCTTTCAAAGTTCAAATCTGTATGTCTGTACTTTCACTTCTGTTGACTCTCAAGTAAGAAGAAACTCAAAGAGTTTCCTCAACAATCACTGTAATTTCTTTCTTTCTGTTCCCCTGTTCGCTCTGTATCTTTAATTTCTTGATAAGCAACGAATAAGAATTTCATTGGATTTTGCTTTACATCAAAAGTGAATGTATGTATGTTTTTTTATAATCTATTTCAGAAGTTATAGATTACCTGTTTCACAAAAACTGCCCTCGTAGCCAGAAATACACGCGCACGTAAAGTCGGGTGATCCAGGAGTACAAGTTCCTCTACTTGCACTCGTACACGAATCGGCAGCACAAGAAGCTAAACATGTAACAAAAAAAAATTTCCGAAGGCAATGAATTTGATAAAATGACGAGAAGAAAAAAAACCCGTTTGAAAAGATTAATCTTCACTTGAGGTACAGTAAAATAGAGTCAAAAGTGGTATCTTCAATTCGATTAACGACAGTGAGGGAAAGAGTTACCTCATTTGTGAAACTATCAGTCAATAAATCAAACAAAGTAAACGGACTGATTATTTCTTTCAAAGTTCAAATCTCTATGTCTGTACTTTCACTTCTGTTGACTCTCAAGTAAGAAGAAACTCAAAGAGTTTCCTCAACAATCACTGTAATTTCTTTCTTTCTGTTCCCCTGTTCGCTCTGTATCTTTAATTTCTTGATAAGCAACGAATAAGAATTTCATTGGATTTTGCTTTACATCAAAAGTGAATGTATGTATGTTTTTTTTATAATCTATTCAGAAGTTATAGATTACCTATTTCACAAAAACTGCCCTCGTAGCCAGAAATACACGCGCACGTAAAGTCGGGTGATCCAGGAGTACAAGTTCCTCTACTTGCACTCGTACACGAATCGGCAGCACAAGAAGCTAAACATGTAAAAAAAAAATTGATTTCCGAAGGCAATGAATTTGATAATATGACGAGAAGAAAAAAATACCCGTTTGAAAAGATTAATCTTCACTTGGAGGGATACAGTAAAATAGAGTCAAAAGTGGTATCTTCAATTCGATTAACGACAGTGAGGGAAAGAGTTACCTCATTTGTGAAACTATCAGTCAATAAATCAAACAAAGTAAACGGACTGATTATTTCTTTCAAAGTTCAAATCTGTATCTGTACTTTCACTTCTGTTGACTCTCAAGTAAGAAGAAACTCAAAGAGTTTCCTCAACAATCACTGTAATTTCTTTTTCTTTCTGTTCCCCTGTTCGCTCTGTATCTTTAATTTCTTGATAAGCAACGAATAAGAATTTCATTGGATTTTGCTTTACATCAAAAGTGAATGTATGTATGTTTTTTTATAATCTATTCAGAAGTTATAGATTACCTATTTCACAAAAACTGCCCTCGTAGCCAGAAATACACGCGCACGTAAAGTCGGGTGATCCAGGAGTACAAGTTCCTCTACTTGCACTCGTACACGAATCGGCAGCACAAGAAGCTAAACATGTAAACAAAAAAATTGATTTCCGAAGGCAATGAATTTGATAAATATGACGAGAAGAAAAAAATACCCGTTTGAAAAGATTAATCTTCACTTGGAGGGATACAGTAAAATAGAGTCAAAAGTGGTATCTTCAATTCGATTAACGACAGTGAGGGAAAGAGTTACCTCATTTGTGAAACTATCAGTCAATAAATCAAACAAAGTAAACGGACTGATTATTTCTTTCAAAGTTCAAATCTGTATGTCTGTACTTTCACTTCTGTTGACTCTCAAGTAAGAAGAAACTCAAAGAGTTTCCTCAACAATCACTGTAATTTCTTTCTTTCTGTTCCCCTGTTCGCTCTGTATCTTTAATTTCTTGATAAGCAACGAATAAGAATTTCATTGGATTTTGCTTTACATCAAAAGTGAATGTATGTATGTTTTTTTATAATCTATTCAGAAGTTATAGATTACCTGTTTCACAAAAACTGCCCTCGTAGCCAGAAATACACGCGCACGTAAAGTCGGGTGATCCAGGAGTACAAGTTCCTCTACTTGCACTCGTACACGAATCGGCAGCACAAGAAGCTAAACATGTAAACAAAAAAAAATGATTTCCGAAGGCAATGAATTTGATAAATGACGAGAAGAAAAAAATACCCGTTTGAAAAGATTAATCTTCACTTGGAGGGATACAGTAAAATAGAGTCAAAAGTGGTATCTTTCAATTCGATTAACGACAGTGAGGGAAAGAGTTACCTCATTTGTGAAACTATCAGTCAATAAATCAAACAAAGTAAACGGACTGATTATTTCTTTCAAAGTTCAAATCTGTATGTCTGTACTTTCACTTCTGTTGACTCTCAAGTAAGAAGAACTCAAAGAGTTTCCTCAACATCATCACTGTAATTTCTTTAATTTCTTTTCTGTTCCCCTGTTCGCTCTGTATCTTTAATTTCTTGATAAGCAACGAATAAGAATTTCATTGGATTTTGCTTTACATCAAAAGTGAATGTATGTATGTTTTTTTTTATAATCTATTCAGAAGTTATAGATTACCTATTTCACAAAAACTGCCCTCGTAGCCAGAAATACACGCGCACGTAAAGTCGGGTGATCCAGGAGTACAAGTTCCTCTACTTGCACTCGTACACGAATCGGCAGCACAAGAAGCTAAACATGTAAAAAAAAATGATTTCCGAAGGCAATGAATTTGATAAATATGACGAGAAGAAAAAAATACCCGTTTGAAAAGATTAATCTTCACTTGAGGGATACAGTAAAATAGAGTCAAAAGTGGTATCTTCAATTCGATTAACGACAGTGAGGGAAAGAGTTACCTCATTTGTGAAACTATCAGTCAATAAATCAAACAAAGTAAAGCGGACTGATTATTCTTTCAAAGTTCAAATCTGTATGTCTGTACTTTCACTTCTGTTGACTCTCAAGTAAGAAGAAACTCAAAGAGTTTCCTTCAACATCAACTGTAAATTTTTTTTTTCTTTCTGTTCCCCTGTTCGCTCTGTATCTTTAATTTCTTGATAAGCAACGAATACGAATTTCATTGGATTTTGCTTTACATCAAAAGTAAATGTATGTATGTTTTGTATAATCTATTCAGAAGTTATAGATTTACCTGTTTCACAAAAAACACTGCCCTCGTAGCCAGAAATACACGCGCACGTAAGTCGGGTGATCAGGAGTACAAGTTCCTCTACTTGCACTCGTACACGAATCGGCAGCACAAGAAGCTAAACATGTAAAAAAAAAAAAAA